AAGAGATAGTGACCTATATTGACGTTCTGTATTTTAGATAATTTAATTTCTTTTACTTTTATCATTATATAATTTTTATTATTTCAAACATTCTTTTATACATTGCTGACGAAAGGAGCTGTGTTATCCGAAACGTTCGAGTAACACTTTTTAAAATTGGTTTTGTTTAGAATTTAATAAATATTATGTATTAAATACCATAATTTTACTCGTTATATTTTGGCCTTATTGTATTAGATCTTATGATCTTATCTATTATTATAGTAATTGGTAATACAAAAATATCAAACAATTCAATTTTCATTATCTTACATCTGGAAATATGAATAATTTTTATTCATACATGACTTTAAATATAAATTTAGTATATGAGTTTTTATATGAGTCATGTCATTTTGGTCCTTTGAAATTAACTAGTAATGCACTTTTAATCGATATATATTAAATAGATCTTACAAATCCAGTATTAATAATTGTGTTACAAATTTCAGCTCCAAAAGGTTAAATATAATAGAAAATTTGAAATAAAATTAGTCGAAAAATTTAAGAAATTATATCAAATTTTGCTTCAGAAGAGAGTATAATCAAATGATTTTATCAGATTATATCGAAATTTTTATTTCACAATAACGAAACAGTCTCACGTGTATTGTGTGCGATTAAAATTCTTCTTGATTAAAAAGTATCGTAGCTAAAATCGATGGCGCCGTACTTTCGGCGCCTTCTCGCCGGCCCGTCCTCGTCGTAGTAAAGCAGTTTTCAATACGCCAGGTGCCGTTGATAAATGGCACGGAAATGTTCACGATGCAGTCTCAGCTATGAGACGTCAAACTCCATTGGCAAGTTAACGACTCGGTCGTTGTAACGACGGAAATTGACGACGCGCGGATGAGAGATATCAAGAGGAGACGCGTTCGAAAACGCGTCGCAAAACGCAAACCGCGCCACCGGAAACAGCTGTGACTGACATCGACGGGTTAGGTCAGTCCCATCGAATGTCAGTATACTGTTCCGAATATTGCGAATCTGTATATATGTACACGTCAGCTATATCGATCTGAAGATGAGCTTTCCCTTATTAAAACTCCGTGGTCCTTATAAGACGTATTAATCCATACCAATTCAAAGCTTCTTCGACAGATATAATTCATTAATTGCAAGGAATATTTCAGAAATCCTTTTACAAAAATCCAATTTAATATTTCAGAAATCCTTTTACAGAAATTCAATTTAATACTGAAAGATAATGATTAATTACTTATTTTGAATACTAAAAATATTGAACCACAATAAAAATGTAGATATCGTTCAAATCTTCTTCGATAAAAATAATTAAATAATTAATTAATTGCAAAATATTTCAGAAACTTTTTTACAAAAATTCAATTTAATACTGAAAGATAGTGATTAAGTACTTATTTTGAGTATTAAAAGCACACTGAGCAATAATGCTTTTAATATTCAAAACAAGTAATTAATTCAAAATAAGTAATAAATAATCACTAATCTTCTAATATTAACTCATCGAAGTTGACATCAAAATTTGTAATACAATTACTGACATTGGATCCGCGAAACTCATTTAATTAATGTATGTTCGTTAATAGGCATTATACTGTAAAAAGTGCAGTGTTTAAAATGTTTACATTGAAAACACATAGTGTTTTATTTATATTGAAAAAGTTTAAAACTAAAACATCTTTAAATGTTTAAAAAACGGAGACAAGAATAAAATATTATTTTAATATTATAAAATTAAACATTTCATATTTTTGAGTGTAATTAACTTTTAAGAAATAACATAAACTCGTATAAAAAAATTAATGTTAAACAACTTTTAACAATTCAAATTTCAATTTAAATTTGCAGATGTAAAGAATATAATTGTGTGGTCCAATAGACACACTGTTTGATATCAAAGGAACAATGATAATCCAATCTCTTAAATTGAAAATAAAAAAAAAGAACAAAATGTGGAAAATAACATTTTCAACTTTTAACTTCTATATATTAGGTGTTGGAATTAATTCGTAGCGTTTTTTAATGAAAGAATGTTATTTATTTCACATGAGCATTAAAAAATACATTAATGAAAGTACTTCCCATCACTTGTAAAACGCTACGAATTAATTCCAACACCTAATATAATAAAACTTAAATCAAATATTTCTGTTAGTTTCAAAATAAACAACGTCCATATTAATGTATACACTTAATAAATAATAAACTAAAAAGTCAAATTTAATACATTCTTTTTTAGTTAAATTGTTTAACTTTATTATAGTTAAATTAATGATATTGAATAGGAACAGTGATGACCTATAAAAGTGATTGAAAATAACTCAATTAGGCATAATTGACATATGTAAATTTAACAGAGCATCATCATTTCCAAAGAGTTAAATTCCTGTAAAGACAGTCGCTTAAAGCGGTGTTAAAAAAATTCCATGATTTTCTTACTTAACAATACATATTAAGCTCTATTCTCTATTCACCATATCGGAATCTCGTAGATATAGTATGGAAGAGGTATAGTATACAAGAGGTTTACGAGAGCAAATCTCCACGGTTCTTTGAGATCTTAATCCTCAAACTAAAATTCGCGCGTCATTAAATCTTAACACGCGTGACTGTAAATTGCGGCTACCGGCCGATGGACCTTTAACGACAACGGCCACCGCACTTAAACCCAACACGCTTCGTGATCATTGCGCCTCGCTCTCCCATGAGCGGCCGACAACTCCGCTCGATTCTCCAAATTAACTTGATCCTCGTCGTATTATGAGCCATCCGCCAGAAATAATGTACACGCGATCATTGGCAGTCCAGTGTGGAATAAATTTTCTCTCCACACGATTGACATTTTCATACGATTGAATGAATTCGCCGCAGTTCTTTAACACAATTCATTATAATTCACAAACAACTTATTATTAGATTAATCTGATAATCTGATAATCTGATAAACTCACATACATTACATTCTCATATACATGTTACACTTATTCTATTCTGCGTATAGGATATATCACGTCACATTATATTAATTTTATTGTGTGCTTATCCGACATTTCATCGTGATTCTATTACCAATTTTAACTTTGGACTCACAATTAAAATATTCTATCAAATACTGAAGACGTTCAACTGTTGACTTTTTATTCTTAGACTAAAATTTCATGATGTTCCCTGATTTGATATTCATCTGATTTCCTTATAAATAAAATATTTATTAATCCGTCAATACTATAGTGAAGACGGTCCAAAATAAGGGTCGAAACGTTTATATTATAACTTTCTTTTAATATATTTTTATACACGAATAACCTTATGTTGGCATTCATTGACTAATTTTGAATAAATTTAGAACTGTCAATAATGATTATCTACTGGCAACGATTACAAAATTATTACAATATGAATGAAAAGAAATGATGTGATTATTTGTACAAATATATAGCGTTATCTCAAATAACACAATTTAAAAATTAATTATTACGCTACTAAACGGGATAATTACATCCTGGGGAAGTAAATATCCTGTAAATTTTGAATATGTTACATAATTCTCCTCTCTTCCGTATATTACATTAATTATTCGTTAATTCCTTTTTACTGGAAGTACTACTAACAATTATACAATACACTCTTCTCACTTTTTGATTGAACTCGAAAGTTTCAATCCGATTGAAAAACGTCATTCTATAATATCACAATAACTCTGTGGAAGTTTTATTATCTATGTATGCACAGCGAAGTACATTCGTTTCGAATTTCGAAGGAAACTTCCGAATCGCGTACGAAACTCACAGCGGCATTCACCTCGATCCCACTTGACCCTTCCGCTAACCGCGTATTTATTCTCGCGCTTAACACACGGTCACCCTTTTACCGTCCATGCCTGTCCTCGGCTGACAAACGCGAACGGTAATTGCGAAGCGACTACGGATTCCAAATGTCGTCCACTCTGTGCGCGTCCGTGGATTAACGAAATGGAATCCCGAAAGTGGCATATGCTACGCGCCACGTGAGATCAGCAGCTCTATTCGTGATCAAGAATTATAACGAGCTGAGGAAAGCTCGTCGCTTTCATTTATGTGATGTATATAGTAGAAAGTGCATGACGTTATTGTCGCGGAAATCGTTAGTCGCGAAAAAGAAGAGTTTTTGAAACAAAAAGTGCATAAAAATTAGTTATGGCTGATTTGTCTTATAAAGAATTTGAATGTGATCCACTTGACGCTATAAATGCTTCGATGTATCTCATTAATCAATCAGAAGATAGAATTTTACTAATTGAAAAATGAAAGAATATTTCGAAGCGTGGACTATAACTATACTTAATACTATCAACGTGTGTAAAATTTGTAACGTCCAATATTATACATCGTTTTTAATGAAATTTATGATACTGAATGAAAAAAGTTCTCCGGTTTAAAAAGAGGAAAAAATCATATGACTATTTTCACATCTTTTTCTAAATAAAGTTTTTTGTCATGTTATCTTTTATAATAAATAATATGTAAAGCAATATGAAAAAGAAACTAACTAGAAGTTTAAAAAAATGTTGATTTATTTTCCATGACATCGATTGAATGACACTGAGGTCATTTGGCATAATATATAATCTAAATAAAATAATTTATGAGTATACTCTTATGGTGAAAATGATAAACGGTTTAATTTTTTTAATTTCAAAAAAAATTTCTTTAAACCTCATTCCTTCATAGAAATATATTTTTTCAAAATTCTTTTTTTTGCGATTAAATTAGTTAAAACTTTCTTTCTCATAAGATTCAAGCTAATCAGCATTTTTATAAATGTATATGTAATAAAAGTTTAATAAAATCAAAAAAGGAAAGAATATTTCTTCGTAATTTGTACAAAAAGAAGTGAAAATAATCTGTACGTAGGTATATTTTTAGATGATACAGTAAAATCATTCTTTCTATGTCATTTCTTACATAGCGGATGCATGAATGAATATATTTGTGTTTCAGCAAGCAGCGATATCAAGGTGGAGTTCAAGATGCCAAAAGAGGCCGATGTGGGTTCTTCGATCGAGCTCAGATGCGAGTGGCGGATAATGAGTGGAAGCAATCTCTACTCGGTTAAATGGTACAAAGATGATCATGAATTCTTCCGATATGTGCCGGACAGCAGTCAGAGGACTCAGACATTTCCCCGACCAGGCGTAACAGTCGAGGTGCGTTCCTTAATCTAAGTCTGCTTGAAAAATTCCAGTTAAGTTCTACTAATTAACTTTGAATATTTAATATTGTATTATTAATAATTTAATCAAGCATAGTCAGATGTAAAAACGCGTAGAATTAAAATATACTTGTACATATATTTATTTTGCATGTAAATATTTTTTTAAAAAAAGATTGAAAAACGTCTAATAATAGCTATCAAATTTATTGTATTTTGTTTAACGTATTAGTGCAATATTTAATAAATATTATCAAACATGACAATTATAAAAGTAAAACAAAATATTTAGAAAAGCAACATTAGCGTTTAATTTTGGTTACATTAATCGAACACTTGATTTTAATCAACATTTGATTTTATTTCATTAAAACTTAAACTATCATTAACGCAAAAATTTTGTTTGATATGAAAAGATTTAGTTAGATACAGATCCGAAAATAATTTTCTTGGACCATCAAAATAATTATGTAGAGCGTTCAAATTAATTGTTAGAATATCAAAACTTTTTGTACTATTGCTTAACTAATTAAACATAATTATTTTCATGAGAGAAGGCTTAGAAAGAGTCCTCACCAATTTCAACGAAACTTTAACAGGATTATAAAGTATGTTCCCTTGAACATCATTATATTCCTATTTAGATGTAGACAGTTGACCATTTCCGAGATATTTCAATATTAAATTAGCAGTTCATTAGAACATACTTATTAGAACATACTTGAGCATTTGTAATGGATATAGTAACAGCCTTTTTTAACTTAGAGATCTTATTAACAATTAATATTTTTCTGTTATATAATAATATTTTATAATAGGAATAATTGTTAATATGAGAAATTAATTATTTTTATTATAGATTACTTTTATAAACTTTAAGATGAAAATTTTGTTAAAAATAAATAAATATCTTGAAAACGATTGATCGTCTATCCTATCTATAATCCTGTCAAGGTTTATTGAAATCGGGGATAATCACTTCTAAGCCTTCCCGGTCAGATTTATATTTTATTTGACTAAATATTTCAACAAAATCGTTCTTTCTGTATAGGCTTGATTATTTATTACTAAACATTTTTTCAATAGATATGGCGAAAATATGGTGATAAATCGACAGTTAGAGAGTAAAGTGAGAAAAATGTTAATGTAACAGTCGCGGAAGATTATCGCGGTTCTTCAATTCTTCCACCTCTTCCTCCTCGATTATCAGAGTACTCTCCTCTCGCTTGACCGAGAACAACACAACAAGTGATACTCCGTCATCAACCTAAACAAAGCGTTGATCTGCGTATTCACGCGTTTCGAGATCGGGAATATCTTTTCCCTTTGTCGTTTCTTACGAAGCGAGATTCTTTAAAACGCACGGAAATCCGCATCGCGTCCGTCGATTTCTTTCACCGACTGTACGCGGGACTCGATGCAATCAATCTTCACCCCCGTCCTCCCTTTGCACTTTCCTCACTCCAATTCCAGCACCGGGACAGGAAAAGCTCGAGAGCACGCAAGCTTCGATAAGACGAACGAAAAGGGGAAACATGGGAGAAAGAGCAAGGCGGAGCTGCAGACGTGTCGGGATCCGTACACAAGTTTCCGCGATTCCGATCGGTAGCGCGACCGTAAGCAGACGGCACCATCACGTCCCGATGTAATTCATCTTACCAGAGCTGCCTGGCTGGCTGGCCGATCAGTCGGCCGGCAAAACGTGCCGGGCAACGTATCCAGACCGCGTTCTTGCGCTGGTACAAACGAGGCGCGAGTTCATTCCACTGCCGCTATTGCCGCGATGCTATATCATCTTTCCCTGCAAGCTCCCTCGTGCAAGCTGTCAGCCACTAGGAGCTATCTCCTCCCAGAGTAGGTAAAAGGAAAGCGAGACTACCGAGAAGCGTCGATGAATAGTCTTTCATATTGCATTGACGACAGCCACGTCGGACATAACCGAATCGGATTGGTTAACGATGAAAAGGATTATGTCGTATATACACAGTAACGAGAAAACCATAATGTCGTCCACAAACTTGAGGTGAAAGCAATTAGAATAAAAGAAGTAAATCCTAAATCTATATTCATGAGAGGAAGTGAGAGAGAAAGAGAGATTTTTATTTCTTCCATTTTTTAATATCAGGATGATATTGACTATTTGAAAATATTGAAACATAGTAAATTTATTTTAATAATTAAATTAACTGACTTGAAATTGTATTAAACTGAATTAAATGGAAATTACGTCGCTGTAAACGAAATGCGAATTCATCATTTTCCAATAAAAAGCTGTCAACAGTAAATCCTTATTTAGAATTCATTAAAGAGAAGTGAGACTGCATTCATTAGACTTTTATATAATATTGATAGTGTCGTATTAGACTACAAATAATAAGAAGAATACACAATTATTTTTGTAACACTGTATTGTACAGTCTAGATCGTAATCTCATTATTGCATTTTTTTTAAAAGAGCGCTAATAAAATTAAAAAGAAAAACTAACAAAATTTAAAGTTATTGTAAAAATATTATTTTTCAATAAAATCGTTTCTTAATTTATTTTTTGTAAAATATAGAACGTTTATTATCAAGGCAAGTTTATTATCAATATCAATTTTATGTTCCATTCGGTCTGACCATAGCGTAGTCATTTCTACTTATTCCCAGATTGCCAGGATGCCCATTTCTACTTCGTATTCTCTGATTATAACGTGGTCTTTACTACTTATGAAACTTGTACAAATGTTGAGAATTTGAATTAAATTCGCAGACAGCTTTATAATTACAAAATTAAAATAAAGACTCAAATTACGATAGAATATCCGAAAATGTAGAGATTTACATTTCAACGTTATTTCTAACTAAACTAATCTTTAAAATAGTTCTCTCACATACCTATTTATCAGTTTAATTTATACCCCACAGACAGTTTAAACACTAATCTATATTTTAGAGATGTATCAAGAATCGTAAATTAATCCATGGCGTAATGTAAAATTCAATCATCGTTGCATAATTATAGTAACTTCTGTCAACAACAATTAAGCGCGCATGTACACATCCTCGATAAAATCGATCCCGGAATGCATTCACCGCATCCTTCTGCCAATACCAACGAAACAGGAGCTTGTTCGCTGAATTTGAAGATACATCATTTTCTCTAAAATTCTCGATACACTGATATGAATTTGTCTGTCGGTATTCTCCATTGGAAATAAAATCTTGCTGGAATCAGAAAGAGCGCTGAAAAACATTGAATAGCGTATCAATGCAATAGTGCTCGAATATTTTCTATATACGCACGGAATTTCGTTCTACCCCTCAATAGAGAACTTTTAATTCATCTGTTTGTTTGCAGTAGTATGTGTCAAATGTACATTACTTTATTATAAAAATATCATATAATATTTTATACAAAAAAAATCGCAAAAGTAAGAGCTTTATGAAATTACCAAGAATCACTTCGACCAGCTCCGATTAATTTTAATCGACAGTTAGTTCATTGCAATTGCATCTGACGTTAAAGACACCTCCAGACGATATAGCCATCACGTGTATAATATTTGCTAATGTTGGCATACGTTGGTCATATCGTCTGGAGGCGCTTTAAACGAAATGACAAATGCGATTGATCAATTCGAATAGACTATCGTCGATCAAAGTTAATCGGAGTTGGTCAAAGTGACCTTAAATACAAATGAAAGTTATTTATAAATTGAAATCTCTCTTTCTCTCTCTTTTTCTCTCTTTGAAAACGTATATTGTAAAAAAATAATAAATATTTGTTTGAATATATTTACTAAATCTAAACATTTATTTGAATACAAAAACTATTAATTTTTATTTAACTATAATGTTTTTATTGAATAAATATTTGTTTACTGGAAATAAATATTTAGTAAGTATAAAAAAAATATGTAATAAGATTTAATAAATTTTTTTCAATGTACAGAAAGAACTGAAAAAATAATTTTGTTTTAGATCATCAAAATAATTATTTAGAACGGCCAAATGTAATTGCTAGAAACTTTTGTAGCATTATTATTAACACTTGCGCGTTCTACGTAATTATTGTGACGATTCAACAAAATTATTTTCATATCTGTGTATTTAGTTAATTTTTTAAATACTTCGGCAAAACCGTTCTTTCCGTGGAGATATGAGAAATTTATAGCAATTAAAAAAATGTTTAATTAATGGCAATCAAGATAAAAGAATTTCTCCATTATATTATTAGAAAAGAATAAAACACTGGTACAACATTTGTATAGCAAAACAAATTAAATTAATATTTTTATATTTTTCTCGTTTCACATTCTCTCATACTAGTTATTGTCTAAAAAAATATTTCTGACAGTAAACGCGATATTGGTAAAAACACGAATAGATTCAGTCTATTTCGCCACGGTATATTATCTTCTTCCAAGATCTCCATTGGTCTTTGATTCTCTCTCGCTTTCGTATTTCTGGTCCTTTCGCTATATCAAATGTTTCGAAGAATGCAATCGACCAGATTGTACTCCAATATTCTACAAATGACGTTCCCGATTCACCGGTCTCTCTCTCTTCTCGTCTATGAGCTAGAACATCACGTAGGATACTATTTGCGAGATGTAACACACATACGCTAGATCAATCTTTGCAAACAGCAAAATAAATCCTGGCAGACACGATGAAGAATTGATCTAAATACGATCAAATTGAGTGATTTAATTTAAAAATGGCATAAGTTTATTTTAAGTGATTTTATTAAATGTGCGCGAAAATGCTTTGTAAAATTATATTTTACCAATTATTTATCGGACTTATACATTGCTTGTATTACTAAATATTATTTGTTACTTACTTATTCAAAAATAACATAAGATCGAGATAAAAATAAAATCGATTTAAAAATAACATAAAACATCAAGATGTTTTTTAAATTCTATTTTTAAAGTAGCTTTTAAAATATAAGCCAATTAAATATTTACAAAATATTCATGTATAATTGTAAATGATATCAAAGCTAA